GCCTGTGCACGGTGGCTCTGGATGTTTCTACTCCAGACTCAGTCCACTGCTTCCGCAGGTCCCCCAAGGTCTGGAATCGGCCCTTCTCCACAATCCTCCTCAGGGTCCGGTCACCTCTTCTCGTTGTGCAGCGTTTTCTGCCACACTTTTCCCTTCCCACAGACTTCCCACTGAGGTGCCTTGATACAGCACTCTGGGAACAGCCTATTTGTTCAACAATTTCTTTCTGTGTCTTACCCTCTTGCTTGAGGGTGTCAATGATGGTCTTCTGGACAGCAGTCAGGTCGGCAGTCTTACCCATGATTGCGGTTTTGAGTAATGAACAAGGCTGGGAGTTTTTAAAAGCCTCAGGAATCTTTTGCAGGTGTTTAGAGTTACGTCATTGATTCAGATGGTTAGGTTAATAGATTGTTTAGAGAACCTTTTCATAATATGCTAATTTTTTGGGACAGGCATTTTGGGTTTTCATGAGCTGTATGCCATAATCATCAGTATTAAAACAATTAAAGACCTGGAATATTTCAGTTGGTGTGCAATGAATCTGAAATATATGAAAGTATAATTTTTATCATTACATTATGGAAAATAATGACCTTTATCACAATATGCTAATTTTTTGAGAAGGACCTGTATTTTTTCACTGCATGAAATTCTGTGGAAAAGTCACATTTTTTTAAAACTTTTGTTTCATTTTGTAAACCTTTATTGAAAAAGGCAAACATTGTAAATAACTTCAACAAAATCTTTGTACAATGAGCATAAATAAATCAAATAAAAACACCAAAGGTTCTTTTAACAATGTGTTCACTTTCACTGTTATGTTTCCAGAGTTTTCACTCTTTTAGATCAGCTGTTTTACATTTAAAACCATTTGTGTTGTTCTGCTCTCAGCATCTTATTGTTTTCAGTGTCTTAATCCATGACTCAGCAGTAAGTTTTATTAACGGCTGTCATGTAAGGCTGGGTCATGTTGGTCTATCAGACAAACAAGAGTGTATTTTAAAGATTTTTTAAAAATCAAATCTGAGTCAATCAAGTCTTTTTTTCTTGCTTGCTTTTTGTTTAAATAAATCCTTAGATAAAATTAACAAAAAGAGTCCGGTAAAGCCAGACACAGAAGCTGTGTGGGGTTTCCAGAGCAGGTCACTAATCCAGACTAGGGCTTTGTCGTGTGCGTGATTAATTTATGATTGTTGTCTTTGTTGATGTGCATTTGTGAGTCTCAGTTCCTCAGCAGGGTGTAGTGTTCCTAACATGTGGATTTTATTTGTAGGTTGGAGATCAACGCCGAGCATCAACCAAACTTAAAACTGCAGTCGTCGTAACTCTTTTTATACGACAATATTCACTTTAAGTCTGTTTTAGGCAGATAAAATTAGAAATGTATAAAATCTGAAACATCTGAACAACAACTCATCACAGTGAGTAAATAAGGCCTCCAGATGTTTACCGTTCTGCTCTGTTAACACATTAACAGGTCATAAGCTTACAGTGATTGTTGGATTGAACATTAACTCGGAGGATGAGAGTGATTGTTGGAGTGTAGACTTCTCTTCTTACCAACTCTGTCTCTGTCAGTTACACTAAGAAGATAATCCGGTTCCAAAATGAGCAACTTTAGACAGATCCTGGCAGAGATTGGTGAGTTTGGTTTATTTCAGAAACGCTTGGTGGCTGCTTTGTGCATCCCGAGTGTTTTTGTTGCTTTTGATGTGATCGGACAGGTGTTTACCGCCATGAGCTACCCTCACCGCTGTAACACGGACTGGATCTTGGAGCGTGGTCCCAACCTGACAGATGAAAGCAAAAGAAACCTCACCATCCCCGTGAACAGCGAAGGAAAGTTTGAAAGCTGTGAAATGTTCATACCAGTAAATAGGGATTTGGAAACGATAGAAAAGTATGGAATTAATTCAACAATAGGGTGCATGAACGGATCGGATTTTAATTTGCCTAATGGGGCTTCCAGCATAGTGACAGAGGTAAGAATGACTTTATATGTTTACAGCCACAGGAAGAAAAATAATCCTCTATGTGGATGATGAATTACTTTTCAGAACTTAATTATTTGTGATCAAATAAATGATGATGAAATGTTTCCTGGGCAGATTTGATTAAGACGTTTTTAAAGCTGTTTGGTCGTTATTTACAAATTAGATGTAGACTTTTAAATCTTGGGTGATTTTATAAATAAGCAGCACAAGCCTTGTAGCAGAAAGTGCAACCAGCAGATTTGTTGCAAGACCCCGTAAACTACATTTCGCCTGGATTAATTGACTAGAAGCTACTACTGCTGAGCTGAAAATCCTTTAAATAAGTCACAATCAATTACAATAAAAGAAATAATAATTGGTGTCATCTTAACTGAAATATCATGTAAATTGGTAAGAAAAAGGTGAAAAAAAATACAAAACTGATATTTTAAAACTTAAATATGAAGAAACAGTATTTTAAATTTCATTCAATTGTTTTATTCTTATTTTTAATTTTGGGCTTTCAATAAAACATAATGTAAGCTTAGATAGAATAGTAACAAAGTAAAAGGTTTATTAAGGTGTTAACTATGTCATTAATTAAAAATGAATTCAGATGGCAATTATATACCATATTTTCCAGCGTATAAGTCGCAGTTGTTTTTTTTTTTTGCATGGATTTGTCAGTCCTGCGACTTATACGCCGAAGTGACTTAAAAACGTTTTTTTTTTTTTTATATTCATTACGCAATTTTTGACTGACGCTTTAAATTTCAAAGAACTGCAACAGCGAGTCCTCCCGTGCGTGCTCGCTTCACTCAGCTGGTGCAGGTGGATGAACGCTGGAGAGCTAGCGGCTCTGGCCGCGATAGATGGATGGATGGACGGATGGATGGATGGGTTGATGGATGGATGGATGGCACCCAGACGAAACAAAGCTGTTTTGACCATTAAATAAATGCATAATAAACGCAACAGGTCAGCGGTGACGCATAATAAATGTGACTTATATGCCGAAGCGACTTATAGTTTTTCCTCTTCGTGATGCTTTTTTTTTTTTGACTGCTGTGACTTTTACTCCAGAAAATATGGTAATTGTAAACATAAGTATTATACTTCTCAAATAAAGTAAAATCTAACATTCAGCAATTTATGGGATATTTTTTTTTTTTGTATATTGAACAAGGTTTAAGGTTTAAGACCCTCAAATGCAGCCATAAATCTTCAGAAGTTAATTTGTTTCTTTCAGGTTCACCACTAAGCAGTCAATTTCTGAACTGGTGTCAAGTCTACCACGCACGTTGTAAAAAGGCACAAAGGGTCAAGGTGCCAGATCAGTACAGGTTAGGAATGGCTCATAGTGAAAAATTGAAATAACAAGCTAAAAATCTCATGTAGATAATATCAAATCAAATTCCCATAAGATTGTTGACCAGGACCCATAAAATCAGGCATGAGGGATACTCAGTTGTAACACATGCCAACGTTTACCTTAAGAAATGTCTGAAGATTCAAATGTCTGTCCTAAAAAAACACTTTAAGATGAACTGCAAAGAGCTCAGCTTCATGAAATAACAGAAAAAAGTTTTCTCCTAAAAATATGATGAAAAGAAGTAAGAAAGCATTCATTCATTCATTCAACCTTTATTTATACAGATTAATCTCAATGAGTCATGTGGACTCATTTACAAGAGAGACCAGATTTTAACAGAGTGATGACAACAGTGGATAACAAAGACAATAATAGACAATCATAAAGGATGCATACAAATTGAGAATAACAAGTGAAAATACAATGGTATAAAAAAAAACAGCTATACTGTAAGGCGATGTAGAAAACTGAAAAACAGGAACATGTCTGCATTGGTTTTTGCCATGAACTTAGCAGATGTTTGAAGCCACTTAGAGAAGTCACGGTTGAGAGCTTCAGATCTTTTTGCAAGATATTCCAGGAAACAGGAGCGGAGTAGGAGAAGACCCTTTTGCCTAGTTTTGTCCTCACTGAGGGGACACTGCATGTAATAATGTCTTGAGAGCGCACGCTGTAACTGCACTCACGCAGAGACATGAGTACGATAATCACAGCCAGTTATGAATCTTAGTGCACCATGATAGGCAGCGTCCAACATATGCAGGGTGCTTGTAGGAGTGTTCATGTAAATAGTCACCGTAGTCAATGGAAAGAAGGAAAGTCGTAGTTACAAGGCGTTTCCTAGCATTCAGAGTTAGACAGGATCTGTTTCTGAAAAAGAAACCCAGTTGAACTTTCAGTTTCCTTACCAAGTTTTCCACATGGAGCTTAAAAGAGAGATGCGAGTCGACCAAGATACCCAAATATTTGTAGGAATCAACAAACTCAATGGGGACACCATTCAAGGATAAAATCAAAGCAAGAACTGCTGGGACCGACTTCCTGTTTGAAAACAGCATCCCTTTGGTTTTGTCGGAGTTTAGGACAAGTTTGAGACGGAACAAATCTTACTGGATGATGTCAAAAGCAGATTGCAAAAGCTGGAAAATCAGCAACTGTTTAGCTCGACAATAAACTACTGCGTCATCAGCATAGAAATGTAAGGATGCATCAGGGATGCTCTGACCTACATTACCTATGTAGATTGTAAAGAGGGTGGGTCCTAAGACTGAGCCTTGTGGTACACCATTGTTGATTGTTAAATAACTGGAGTAAGTAACATTATGTTGAACACATTGCCTCCGCTCTGAGAGATAGTTAGAGAACCAACCAATGGTGTGAGCTGAAAAAACAATTTCTGAGAGCTTATGACATAAGATGTCATGATCCACAGTATCAAAAGTTTAGACAGATCTAAATAAAATGCAGCTTACCAGAAACAAACCAATAGGCACACCTGATGGGACTAAACAATATGAAAAGAAAGTCATGAAAATAATATGATCTTTCCCCTTGTTTTCATCATTCCCACAACAAAGCATGGTGGTAGCAACATCATGATGTGGCTCTTTTCTAAAAACATTGCTAAATACACAACATTACACAAAAAAATATTGGTAAATGAAATATTGACGAGGTTTAACTAAAAATGATAAAAGTTTTAAATAATATAACTGAAGGGTTTAATACTCAGCATATAGTATATGCCTTATTAAGTTATTCATTTTCAATTACAAGACTGATTTTACATCTCTGTATCAAAATTTTCGTTTTTTTGATACGTTGCCATGAATTGTTTGTTGTGTCAGATGTTTACTAAAATCATGCCCTTTTATTTCCAAATTTCCAAACTGGACATTAAATAATAATAAAATATCAAGATGGCAATAAACCTTTAAATGTGCATTTATTAATTTTGTGTCCACTGCACTGTCAGTTCAACCTGGTGTGTGACAGGAGCAGCTTGATAGAAGTGTCCCAGTCTGTTTACATGGCCGGCCTTCTGGTTGGAGCATTTGTTGCTGGGCAGATGGCTGACAGGTACCCACCACCAGTTTAACCACCAAGTCATTTACTTGAAAATAACTGTTATGTTGCATTGATCAATAAAATGAAACGGAACGTTCCAGTTTAACACTTCTGTCTCTCTGTTTTTAGGTTAGGCCGACGGTTTGTGATCCTGCTGTCTCTCCTCCTCCTGTTCTTGTTCGGTGTAGGTGCTAGCTTCTCACCAAACGTCTATGTTTACATCGTTCTTAAGTTTATTTGTGGCTTCTCGGTTTCTGGAATCCTTGTCAATGCATTTGTCATCGGTAGGTACAATGCACACATCGGAACTTAAATCTACCGCAGCATCCCTTTAAGCATTAATGAGGTGCATAAACTGATTGCATTCATAAAAAGACGTTTCATTGGTTGTAGTTGAGTTTTATAAACAATAAAAGCTCTTACATCTTTAAATGTGCACATTAAAAAAAATTCACATATGGTCTATTTATTATCTGCCCCATTTCTTTGAAGGTGGAGAATGGAGTGACTCGTCTAAGTTTGCTCTTTGCACCATTATCTCTCACTCTTGTTTTCCTCTGGGGTTGATGATATTATCTGGAATTGCATATTTGATCCGTGACTGGAGGCTCCTGCAGCTGGTGCTCTTCAGCCCTCTTATCATTGTGCTGGGAATCTTCTACTGGTCAGTGCTCACTCGGATAAACGTTCAAACAAAATCGCACAATAGAAGAAATGACCAAGGCTTGTTCGTCCACTAGGGTCCTTCCAGAGTCAGCTCGCTGGCTCATTACTCAGGGAAGGAAGGAGGAGGCCATTAAAGCTGTACGGAGAGCAGCTAAAGTAAACAAGAGAAATGCGCCCGAAGAGCTGCTAGAAAAAGTGAGTCAAATCAAACAAAATCTGGTCAAACTGAATGCGATGAAATGACTGACTTCTAATAAACCTGAATTATTTAGCTGGAGGTTGAAGGTACACCCAAAAAAAGAACCATGTTGGACATCTTCAGGAAATCCTATCTGAGAAAACGAGCTTTAATAATGAGCGGCGTCTGGTGAGTTTTCTGACTCCATTTTTGTAGTTTCATTCATACTCTGGCTCTCGTTTTTAAACTATGACCTTCTGAGTAGTTGGTGAAGGATACAGATAGTAGACTTTAGGTAAATACTGTGGCTTTTGAAAAACAATGACAAAGCAGTCTGTTTCTCACACACTCACCATCACTTTCTGCCCTAAAGACCAAAACATCAATCGAACCTTTTTCCATCGTCTGTTTCCCTGAAAGAAAACAGCAAAGAAAGAAATAATCACAGGCTGCAATTCTTTTGAACAAACTTTTGCCAAGTCTGTTTCATCTGCATTGTTGTCAGTATGGCTTGGTAGAGGTACTGATAGCATTTTTCTTAAAATCTTTGGACAGAGATATGTTATAAAGAAGATAAAATACATGTATATCTTTAGTAGAGTAGATCAGGGGTTCTCAAACTTTTTGGGTTCAGGGACCTCCTCATAACCTTCATGTTTATTAAATAATTTTCTTCTATACGTCTCTTTAATGCAATGGAAATATTTGTGTAACATAAATACTTAAGATCTGTTCTTTAATAGCTTTAATATAATTTTTATACTTTTAAACATGGGGTATTTTTCATTCAAGACACACTTAATTATGAAATGTTTTAATTTCAGCTTCCAAAAACTACAGTTTGAAAAAAAACAACAGTTTCACAAACCATTTATAAACTTTACCTATTCGTATAATGAACATACTGTAATAATGGTCTGGTGCCTTCAGACATCTCCTCCTACATGTCTCTGCGTGAGTGCAGTTACAGTGTGCGCTCTCAGGACATTATTACCTGCAGTGTTCCCTCAGTGAGGACTGAACTAGGCAATAGGGCCTTCTCCTACTCCACTCCTGTTTCCTGGAACATCTTGCAAAAAGATCTGAAGCTCTCGACCTTGACCTCTCTAAGTGGTTTTAAACATCTGTTAAGTTCCTGGCAAAAACCAATGCAGCCATGTTCCTGTTTTAAGTTTTCTCCACCGCCTTACAAGCTAGCTTTTTTTTTTTTCTTTTCTTTTCGCTACTTTTCCTTTTAACCGTCCTTTTGGTTGCTATTTCTTTTCGATTTGTTTAAAGAAAAGAAAAGAAAAAAAGATATTTAAATTTTGTATACATCTTTTGTGACTGTTTATTGTTGTCGTTGTTATTCACTGTTGTCACCATTCTTTGAAATTGGGTCTCTCTTGTAAATGAGTCCCCGAGGCTCACTGGGATTAACCTGTATAATAAATAAGGGTTGAATGAATTAAAAAAATAAATGCATCACCACTTCTTCAAATTATTACAGGAAACTATTTACATCAAACTGAACAGAATCATACAGCAAGTAACAGGGATTAATTTATAAACCCGTCCATGCTGGAACAAAAATAGTGGGTGGGGCTGGTGGTGGTGGTGGTGGGGTGGGGTGGGGTGGGGTCCTCCCCCAGAAAATTTAGACTAAAGTAGATGGGATTTCCTGCATTTTGGTGTATTATAACGGGTTGGTAAACATCTACGTGCTTGTAAAAACATACTTTTTTTTTTTTTTTGGACCCCCAAGCACCAGGTTGTGGACCCCTAGGGGTCCGGGGACCCCAGTTTGAGAACCACTGGAGCAGGTGAGGCTTAAAGGGATGTTAAAGTAGAATTTTATGGAAAGGTAAGGTAAATAAAATATTTCTTGTCATAGACAGCTCTTAGAGAAGGTTCAGTTTGGCTAAAAATTGTTTAAAGAGTTTCTGACTGAGTGGGACCAAAACCAAAGTGGATTGCTGTCTTTTATAAACAAATCTAAATCTAAATTTTCTTATGATTTTATAAACTTTTAAGTCACAATCCGTTTCACTTTACAATGTTTTTCAAGCAGAATTATTAGAATATTCTAGCTCAGGGGTGCCCACACTTTTTCCCTGTGAGGGCCAAATTTAAAATCTATCAGGGGGCTGCAGGCCAAATGAAAACATATAGTTCATGAAATGCAAATCCTTCTTTAAGTAAAGTCAATTTATTTATTATACAGTTATTTAACCTTTGATTCTGAATAAAGAACATTACAGAACACAAAATATAACAAATGAGTCATAGATAAGAAATTAAAACAAATGTTGAAATTTTGGCATTTCAGTATGTGGTGCAAAATGTAAAAAAAATGCACGTCCAACATCAACACAATTAACAGCAACAACAATATGAACATAAATAAACAGTCCCATATATACGGTAGTCAATGGGCCGACTTTTCCATCTAACATCATAACCCTGTATGCATAGTTTCATTCCACCACATGTACTACATGTGGTGGAACGACAAATAAAGAACCTTGAATCAATGGGTGGAGTGACTGAGTGAAAACATATTGATTCTTCACAGGAACTTTTAACATAGTAACGAGGACAGTTTAGCGGGGCCAACTCAAATGGCTTGGCAGGCCAACTTTGGCCCGTGGGCCCCACTTTAGGCACCTCTGCTGTAGCTGGAAGTACCCCGGACTGCACTGGATGTGCTGCCGATATTTTCTGATATTTGCTCTTGTAAACAACCAGAGAGTTTTATGTAAATAACTGTTTAATACAAAATTCAAAGCAGTGTGAAGGATTGTATAATAAAAGTTTGCTTGAAAGTTTTTAGGCTGGTATTTTTAATGTAGTCGCAATCTGCTTTGTTCTTGACACCACTTGGACTAGCCACTACATCTCCAGTCTATTCAGCTATCTATCTACTGGTTTCTACTTATTTGTGGTCGGGTTGTTGAAAGCACCAGGTCGTGAAAATCCCTCTTCATAGCAACACTCTACAGCTTCTTATTGGAGAGTGAGGTGAATCCAGTCAGAATTAAATGTTCTCTTTCTAAAATGCTGTTCAAAAAGTTATCTGCAGCAGGTAAGATGATAATTGTTCGTGACATTTTGAAATAACCCTACTTTAAGTGACTGTAACGCTCATGTTTAACAGGTTTGCAACAAGTCTGATGTACTATGGACTCAGCCTAAACGTTGGCAACTTTGGTTTGGATATTTACCTCACACAGTTCATCTTTGCCGCAGTGGAGTTCCCTGCTCGTCTGGGCACGCTGCCTCTCCTCCAGCACTTTGGAAGAAAGTTCTGTCAAGCAGTAGTGCTGCTGTTTGGAGGTTTAGCCTGTCTTGGGATTCTCACAATACCAAAAGGTAATTTAATGTTTGTTGTCTAACACAAATACGCTTGTTTTTAAATTTA